GTGTAGCACCTTTCACGTAGGAGGACATCCCAACGCGCTCCACATTGCAAGATCTTTAAAATGAAGTATAAATCATGTCAATCAGTTATTGCATTTTGGCAGACAGATATTTCATGTTTATTTACAGATAATAATCCTCGCATTTGATATATCACTTCATCACATCTTTGAGACGTCTCAAAGCGCTTCAAGGAATATAATGTAAAGTGAATTGACTGAAAAATGAAATATTTTAAATTGCTGCAGTAACACTTTATTACAGACAGAGCAATAGATTCACCTTTTCTTTGTTTCTCCTGATGGATGTTGTGGTGTAATTTGAGGAATAGAATCATTTTCTGAAAGTTACTGTAGATTAACATGACAGTGAGGCCACAGATAGCGTTAAATATATAAACCTGCAGTACCGCGTTACTGCCGGCAGATAATGGTGTTGTACTGGGAAACATGACCCCAATGTTCAGAGTAAACCAACAATAATAATCCTGACAAAGTCAAATTGTCTCGGGCAGGAACAGCCTCCAAACATATGGAGAAGGTTCCCACTATAGTTCGGATATGTTTATTTAAGGATGTCGAGTCCTTGGAGAGGGTTCAGAGGAGATTTACCAGAATGATATCAGGGATGAGAGACTTAAGTTATGCGGAGAGCCGAGAGAAGGTGTCATTGATTTACTTAGAGCAGAGAAGGTTAAGGGGAGATTTATATAATAATAATAATAATCCTTGTATTTGGTATGCAGCTTTTCACATCTTCTAGACATCTCAAAGCGCTTCACAGAATATAGTGTAAAGTGAATTGACTGTATATTTGTGGGCGAAATGTGGCAGCCAAATTGCTGCTGCAGTAACACTATTACAGACAGAGCAATAGATTCACCTTTTCCTTGCTTCTCCTGATGGATGTTGTCGTGTAATTTGAGGAATAGAATCATTTGCTGAAAGTTACTGTGGTTTAAAATGACGTGGATTGATTTAATAGAGATGTTCCAAATTATGAGGGATTTTGATGGAGTAGATAGGGAGAAACTGTTTCTTCTGGCGGGTGGGTCGGTAACCAGAGGATACAGATGCCCAACTTTGGTGTCAGGTTTGATCCCCAGCTTTCCTTTCTGCCACACAGCTATTTGTTCCCTGACCAGTACTACTTTTTTCCACCTCCGCCACATTGCCTACTTCTGTCTGTATCTCACAAACGACACATAGGAAACCCTGATCCACACCTTAGTCACTTCCAGGCTGGACTACGCTAATGCCCTCCTGGCAGGTCTCCCCAGCTCCCCATACAGAAATACAATTGCTTCAAAATTCTGCCATCTGGATACTCACCCGCATGAAACCCAGTATCCCCATCACACTAGTCCTTGCCAGGCTCCACTTGCTCCCATTATTATACAATAATATTATTCAAAAAATAAATAAATAAAATAATAATAATAATAATCCTTGCATTTGTTATAGCGCTTTTCACGTCTTCTAGACGTCCCAAAGCGCTTCACACAATATGCTGTAGAGTGAATTGACTGTATATTTGTGGGCGAACACGGCAGCCAATTGCGCACAGCAGCGTCCCACAAACAGTCATGGCTTGAAAATGACCAGTTTACTATTGTTTTTTTTGGAGGGATTATTATTAGGCTTGTGGAGTAAGGAAATGTATGATGTACATTTATTGATGCAAAAGTTTACGGGCTGTCATTAACAAGGAATGTCTCTGAGGAATTCTACCTCGATGTGACAAAGCTGTGCATCCACCTGACTGAGTCAGATTGAGTCAGATTGTCACACTCAGCCGCCTCACCATCCCCACTGGCCTTCACAGGGGCCGCGGATACCCACTGTCACTCAGATTGTTTGAATCACTTATACACTATCTTCTGTTCCTGGGATTCAAACAATTACAATTTATTGGCGTTTTGCAATAAAGCAGTAAATGCCGGGACAGACATTGTAATGACACTCAGCTGGAAATTCCGGCTCTCCAGACGGGATCTCCCCCATTGGTCCGGCCTCGAGCCGGGGGTTCAGTGTAATGAGCCACTGTAGCTGCCAGACAGCACAATCAGCACCAGCACCGCAACAGCTCGTCTGGATTAAACCTCAACCCCTGACACACACCCTGAGCTGTCTTAACTCACTCTGCCCCTTACTGTGATAGAGCACTCGCTTTGCAAGCGGGAGACCTGAGTTCAATTCCAGGCAGAGGGCGAAACCTTGGGCAAGATTCCTTACTCCACACAGAGCCTAATAATAATCCCTCCAAAACCAAAAACAATAATAAATTGGTCATTTTCAATCCACGACTGTTTGTGGGACATTGCTGTGCGCAATTGGCTGCCGCGTTCGCCCACAAATATACAGTCAATTCACTTTACAGTGTGTTCTGTGAAGCGCTTTGGGACGTCCTCCCGACGTGAAAAGCGCTATATCAAATGCAAGGATTATTATTATTATTATTACTGTACAGAGTAACACGGCACTGAGACACTGAATGCCCACCTCCTCCTCTGACCCTCGTTGCTCTCTGCTCCAGTGTTAGTTTCTGATCCGGTTGTTGCTTCTCTACAGCCTCACCGGCTGCTCCATTTTTGGGGTTTGCTGAGACTTCTCAAAACGCTTTAGAGAACATACTGTAACGTGTAGTGACTGTGTGTTCGTTGGGCAAAATGCTGCAGCCAAGTGTGCACAGCAGTGTCCCACAAACAATGGTGGATTGAGTGACCAAATTAACTTGTGGGAGAGACTTTTACCCCCGGAAAGCGATTCACCAATCAACTATCAACCAGGTTCCTACTTACCAGGTTCCAGGAAGGGCGAAACCTTGGGCAAGATTCCTTACTCCACACACGAACAATAATCTCTCCAAAAACAAAAACAATAATAAATTGGTCATTCACAATCTACAAATGTTTGTGGGACATTGCTGTGCGCAATTGGCTGCATTCGCCCACAAATATACAGTCAATTCACTTTACAGTATATTCTGTGAAGAGCTTTGGGATGTCTAGAAGACGTGAAAAGCGCTATATCAAATGCAAGGATTATTATTATTATTGCTGCTTGGTAAACAGAGGTGTGTGGAATAAGGAAACTTGCCTAAGGTTTCACCCCACCCAGGAATCTCTCTCTTGTGAGGCGAGTGCTCTAACCACACAGCTATAGGACTGTTGTTTTTAAGAGGAAGTTGGATCCTCTAAACCTATCCCCAAACCCTCCTCTTTATGGGGATTTCAGGCTGGTTAACAACACACGGGATGAGCACACGTGTTTGGGACACTCCCTTTAAGTATAGTCAGGAGACCTTCGCATGAGGGAGAGGAGAATTGAATGGAATGGGTGGGCGTAAGGAATGGGTGGAGACTGATGTGGAGTATAAACACCGCCACAGACTGGTTTGGCGGTTTCTGTGCTGTATATTCTTTGTAAATCTGTACATTCCTTCAATCAAGTGTAACTCGATGCCCAGCCCCTGAGATGGCCGACTGAGGCTTTCCCCAAACAACTGGAGACAGAAACATTCACAGACAGTGTGAATTACACTCAGACACGGGAATGGCAATTTGTGTCTCCACCTTTTGGGAATATGGTGAATTTGCCCCATGTTGATGCTGTGTTTGCAGAGACTGATCATTAATCCTGACACTCAGTCTATTCAGTCTGTGTCACAGCCCGTCAGCAAGTCTCCACTATTCATACTCAGACAAAAGCAGACTGAGACACACTGTCACCCATTGAATTTATTATATCTCGACTCGACCACGCCTCCATAAGATGCAGATCATCCAGAAACACAACAGGCTCCGTAATCCTATCAGCCCCACCCTCACTTGATTCCACTGCTTCCCATCCCCCAGAGGACAACGTTAAAAATCCTCATCCTCTCCATCAAGGCCCTCCACGGCCTTGCCCCTTCCTACCTCTGTGACCTGCTGACCCATTACCAACCTGTCCACGCTCCCCGCTCAGCAGCCTCTGGCCTGCTGCATGTCCCCCGGCCGGCCTACACCACCATTGGCGGTCGAGGCTTCAGCCTCTCCACCCCAACACTTTTGAACTCCATTCCAGAGTTCGGTCACCTCACTCTCTCCCTTATCTCCCTTCAAGGCATATCTCAGTACCCTCGTCGTTGACCGCACCTTCAGTCACCCTCCCAACCCCACCCTCCATGCCCTCCACCAATCCTGATACAGACCTCCAGTTTGTGACGAAAGCCCTGACTGTCCAGCACCTTGGGTCATCCTCCCAATGTGAAAGGCACTGTGCAAATGTAATTTGTTATTGTTGTTAAAACACAGTGTATCACACACACACTGAGACACACACTGACGTATTCTCTCACACTCATTCGCACACTCTATCACACCCATTGGATAACCAGATGTATGAAGCCTCTGAGAATGCTGTACTCAGTAAATGATCTGTTTTATGAATTGGGAAATCAGTCATGTGGGGACCTTTCCTGTGGGATTGAAGATTATTCCAGGGAAATGTGAAGGTGTAACCAGGGGTTTTGGATCAGGAATCTTGTGTTACTGACAACAAGCGATGAGCTATTGTCATCACAAACAGGAAAATTGCAGGACTTTTCCATAATCTATGTTTTATGGAATGTTTTACCCTTCTCCTTATTCAGTGTCATAACAACAAGTTTACATTTGTATGGCGCCTTTCACATTGGGAGGATATGTGTGTATAGTGTATATATGTGTGATATATAGTAGTGTGTTATATAATAATTGACGCAGAGCGTAGTGAGATTGTGGAACTCTCTGCCTGAAGAAGTAGTTGAAACAGTTCATCCTTGCATTTGATGTAGCGCCTTATCATGTTGTTGAGATGCCTCAAATTGCTTCATAGAACACATTGTAAAGTGGATTGACTGGATATTTCACAAACAAAATGTTCAGGGAGTAAGGAATGGGTGAAGACGCCTGTGGAATATAATCACCGCACAGACTGGTTTGACCGAGTTGCCTATTTAGGTGCTGTACATTCTTTGCGATGTAACTCCCACAAGACAATTTGACAGTCAGACAAATGCAATTCCGGTCACACATCAATACAGTTTTACCTGTGAAGATTCCTCTCTTTGAGGCAAATCACCAACAGGTAAGTGTCAGAAATTGTTGCCTGAAATGACATTAGACTGTGATTGAAAAAAAATATTTTATTCTGTATTCCAGTCATAGATTTATTAGTTTTGCCGTCACCTCTGGTGATGTGGAGTTTAAATATGAAAAAGAGGTTCTCTATTGTCAGGTTTGTGTCAATAGTAAAGCGGGAGCTCTGCAGTCAGTTTATTCCCAGTTTGTTGTTTAAATGCTGAGAATTGGAGGCAAGTGAGGAGGGAGGGAATGGGAGCTCCTCTCTGACCTGCACCATGTTGGGGTGAATAAGGAGCGGCTGTGAGGAGGGGGAGGGCAGGAGCACATTACAGCAGTTAACACATAACACGTTTCCACCCCAATAATCCTCATGGAGACCCCCAGTACGGGGCCAGCGGGGGCCTCACTGTCACAATTAAAGAGGTCAGATCACTATTCCAACAGAGAATGCAGTTTGTTCTGCTGTGTATGTAAATGTAAATACATGTTGTAAGATCACACAATTATTAATTATGTTTTCCATGTTTATTAATTACCGGCTGAACCTATTGCAGCTGCACTTGCAACCAAAGGATCCAATATGGAATGAGGATTTTAGTATTATTATATGTTATATTATATTATTGTATTTCATATTAGTTTACTGTACTTTATATTAGATCATTGTACTTTATATTAGATTTTTGTACTTTATAACAACAACAACTTGTACTTCTATAGCACCTTCTATATGGATGGTGGATAACAGCGTCTTTGGATTGTTGTTTGCCTCCAGGATGACTTTGGATTAAAAGTCAGATTGGCCTGTGAAGGGGAGAGGCAGTAGGTGCGGAGGTGCTCGAGCCACAGCTGGCAGTTTATAGTATATTATTATACTTTTATATTATATGATTATAATTTATATTATCCTAATTTATATTACATTATTAGCCTTGATATAAAGATAGGAGATCCACCCAAAAAATGCCCCTGGTTTTCTCTCATGCAACTTTGTTTCAGAATACATTAGCGTAGATGTATCTCTCTGGAATGGTGTGTGTTTTCTCTGTCAAAACCGTGTTGCAGTATACGATGCACACCTCAAATTGTGGGGCTGAATTAAAGTATTTTTTAAATGTAGCTCATCAGTGATAGGTGTTCCACAAAACAAATATGCCCATGACACTCCAACTTGAAAGACCTTTCTGATGACTTATAATCAATGTTAATTGGTTATTAGCATTATTGGCTTGACACGCAGACAAATTCACACAAACATTTTGTCTTGATTAATATAGATAGATATACAAACACAAGTCTCTGTGTGTATGATCTGAATTGCTGTGTTGTAACCAGTTCTGATCTCATTGTGAAGGTCCGAGAGGATGAGCTGGAAACACTTTCTTCAGGTCCTATGGCTTGCGCTTCCCCTCTCACTGGCTGGTAAGGAAACACATTGAATCTGTTTGATTTTGTTGGTGTTAAATTGCTGAGGGTAAAGGGAGAGCTGCTGAAGGTGGCGGCTGGGAGTGAGTGTGATTCACACACTGACAGCTGCTAATGTTCCAGGAGTTGGGCAAAGCCTCAAAGATTCAAGTCCAGGTGGGGCTAAACTTTAGCCAAGTTTCTTTTCTCCACCCTTCTCTGTTTACCTTGCAATAACTAGGAACTCGGTTGTTCACTTATAATCGTGAAGGGAATTTTCTCCAATAGCTCTACAATAGCTCCTCACCGTTGGAATCACCTCAATCAGATCACCCCTTAAACATCCTCAGTGCTGAGGAATATAATCTAAGTCTAAACAGCCTCTCAACACAGCTAAACCATTTCATCCCAGGGATTAATTCATGGATCAGCTTCTCAACATTGGTTGCCTCAAGTCATAGCTTCAGTTGAGGCCTGACAGCACCTCAATTTACATTCCTCTTGTTACAAAGACCATCATTAATCTCACTTGTTGTATTCTGAACTCGTCCCTCAAGGATTATTATCATTGTTTATGTCGGAACTAATTGATATCACAGTGACTTTTTTTTGCTCAGCCGTGATTCTGACACATGCAGAAACCCATTACCGTGTTTAAGAGGATCCAAATCAAGCTGAGATTTCCGTGCATCCCATCTAGACATGGAAATTTCACAGATAGGTTGTTGGAATGGAATGCGCTCTCTCACCCGGGAGGGAGACATCTTGCATTACAGAGTTTGTCTGAGTCAGTTGATTCCTAACTTATCCATTGTTTGTTATTAAACAGAGAAATTCACAGTCAGTGGCCCGGCCCTCCCTGTCTCAGCCATTGCTGGTTCGGATGTTGTCCTGGACTGTAAGTGTTCCACAGACCTGCCCCTAGAGGGTGTGGAAGTGAAGTGGTTCAGGACAAGATATGACTCCCCAGTGCATTTATACAAGGAGGGACGTCATCAACTGCAGAAGCAGAAAGAAACCTACAGAGGCAGAACACAACTGTTTGTGGAGGAGTTTATCAATGGCAATGTGTCTCTCAGACTGGAAGATGTGCGGGTGTCAGACCACGGAGAGTACACGTGCTTCGTTGAGTACTCTGAATGGTATGAAGAGGCAGTGATGGAGTTGAATGTTATTGGTCAGTAATGTTTACAACTCATTTTTATTTGATAAAATTCACATTGTACAAAAATAACAATTCATTAACTTAACAACACTCAGTAACTGGATGGTCAGGGAGGATTTTGAAGGTCTCCTCAGTGTTAAAAGCCAAATGGAAAAAAAACCTTGAATCATCCAGGTTGGTAGACCTCGGGGACCTCAGTTTATCATCTTATCCAAAGAACGGCACCTCCGACAATGCAACACCTCCAGCAATGCACTGGAGCTTCAGCTTAGACTATTTGATTCCAAATCCCGATATGGGGACTTGAACCCACAACCTTCTGACTCAGAGGGAAGAGTGCTACCACTGAGCCAGGCTGACACACCACTTCTTTAAATGTCTATTTACATTTCTTGACAGACGACTTCTTTCCCAAAATGCCAGTGAGTTTGATGGTTTCCTCACTGCTCTTAGGACTTGCCATAATGGTGCTGAGTGTTCTTGTCGGCTACAGTATAAAACAGCATCGAGAAATCAAAGGTACGTTCCCACCAGTAACATCTCCCATTACAAGTCACACATTGTTTGTTTTCATGAAACAAATACTTTCTATGAAACAATTGTTACACTAATTGTGATTGTATTTCAAAGTCCTTAATTTTATTGTGTACCACTGAAATAAGAACAAAATTACATGTGTGTAGCTCCTTTCATGTTGAGAGGACAACAACAACAACAAGATTCCATTTATAAAGCGCCTTTCACGTCAGGAGGACGTCCCAAGGCGCTGCACAGTTGGGTCATGACCCGAGCAGGGGGGAAATGGTCAGGGTGAGGGGAGGGAAGGGAGCGAGGAGGGGGGAAATGGTCAGGGTGAGGGGAGGGGAGGGAGCGAGGAGGGGGGAAATGGTCAGGGTGAGGGGAGGGATGGGAGGGAGCGAGAAGGGGGAAGAGAGTCGAGAGGGGAGCTGAAGGCTCGGTCAAAGAGAAAGGTTTTGAGACCGGCCTTGAAGGAGGAGAGGGAGGAAGCGGCGAAGGCACTGGGGGATAGAGTTCCAGAGCCTCGGGGCTGAGAGGCTGAAGGCCCGACCACCGATGGTAGGGCGGTTGGGGCGGGGGACCTGGAGCAGACCGGAGCCAGAGGAACGGAGGGTACGGGCAGGTAGGTAGGGGGATAGTAGGTTGGAGAGGTAGGAGGGAGCAAGGCCGTGAATGGCCTTGTAGGTGAGGATGAGGATATTGAAATCAATCCTCTGGGGGATGGGGAGCCAGTGGAGGCCAGCGTGGGTGGGAGTGATGTGTTCCGGAAGCCTGGTGCGGGACAGTACACGAGCTGCAGAGTTCTGAATGACCTGCAGTTGTGGAGGGAGGTGGCGGGAAGGCCGGCGAGGAGAGAGTTCCCATAGTCCAGTCTTGAGGTGACAAAGGCGTGAACCAGGGTTTCAGCAGCGTGAGGGGTGAGGTAATGCCGTAGTCTGGCGATGTTCCGGAGGTGATGGAAGGCGGTGCCAGTTGTGGTGCGGATGTGAGGGAGAAAGGACAGCTCAGGGTCGAACAAAACGCCGAGGTTCCTGACTGGCTTTGAGAGGTGGAGAGTGCAGCCTTGGATGCTGATGGTGTCGGCGCCTGAGGTGCGGAGGCGCTGACGCGAACCAATCAGGAGGGCCTCGGTTTTTCGCACGTTGAGCTGAAGAAAGTTGTCTCTCGTCCAGGACTCGATGTCGGACAGGCAGCTGTCAGGACATCGGTGGTCGTGGAGTTGAGAGTAGAGGAGGAAAGGTAGAGTTGGGTGTCATCCGCATACATGTGGAAGTTAACTCCATGTCTGCGGATGATGTCACCAAGGGGGAGCATATAGAGGGTGAAGAGGAGGGGACCGAGGACAGAGCCCTGAGGGACTCCACATGAGACAGTACGGGGGGTGGAGGAGAAGCCATTCGTCGAGACAAAGTGAAGACGGTGAGAAAGGTACGACCTAAACCACTAAAGGACAGTGCCTTGAAGGTTGAGGTGGGAGGACAAGCGGTGGAGTAGGATAGCGTGGTCGACCGTATCGAATGCTGCCGATAGGTCGAGGAGGACGAGGAGGCAGAGGGAGCCCTGGTCACAGATGGTCAGGATATCATTGGTGACCTTGACCAGGGCAGTTTCTGTGCTATGGGCAGCACGGAAACCTGACTGAAGGGGTTTGAAAAGAGAATGGGTGGAAAGGAAAGAGCGCAGTTGGGAGGCGACAACTCTTTCCAGGACCTTGGAGAGAAAGGGGAGGTTGGAGATGGGCCGGTAGCTTGATAACGTCCCAAGGCATTAGATAGTCAGAGTTTTGGACCCGAGCTGCGGGTTGGGATTGGGGAGGGTGTATGGCATGGGGAATCAGGGTGATTGAAAGCAGGGTCGAAGAGGAGATTCTTAACATGGGTCTTGCAGGCAGCAAGGAAGGAGGCGAGGCTGAGGTTTAACTGTATTTAGACGTCCAGAGGATCGGTGAGAGTGAGTGAGCTCCACCATTTTCATGGCAGATAATGATCCGTTGCCAAGTTTGGTGCAACATCTTCTGTACCATGATGGAGTAACAAGTTGATATGTATCTCTGATAGCTTGTTTCACCTCCTCTGTAGTTTTAGAAAATAAAAATTAATTTTAGAAAGAAAACCTGGGGTTGCTAAACACCCTGTAGATTATCCCTCAACATAAAACTGTATTCATCATAATAATAATCCTTGCATTTGATATAGCGCCTTCTCACATCTGCGAGAGGTCACAACGCACCTCATAGAATATACTGCAAATTTATTTGACTGTATATTTTGTGGGCAAAACACTGCAGCCAATTGCGCTCAGTAGTGGCCAACAAAGTCGTGGATTGAGTGATCAAATTATTAATAGTTTTTGGAAGGAATTATTACTCCCGGAAAAGCCATACACCAATCCACTAACAACCAGTCTCTATGTACTGCTGGGTAAACAGAGGCATGTGGAGTAAGGAAACTTGCCCAACATGTCGCACTACCGGGAATCGAACCCAGGTCTCTCGCTTGTGAGGCGAGTGCTCTAACCACTGAGCTACAGGAATATACATAATCAGTTTGTCAATGTAGTAACAATGTGTCTATACTAACAATTTACATTTTTTATTCAACAGACCTTCAGAAAAGACTGGGTAAGCAAAATTATACAACAATCTCTGTTGTGATGAAATCTCATTGACATTAGATCACCTCAACACCAAATAGTTGCATAAAATGTGTTTCACACAATCTTCGGGACTGAGAGATAAATGTTAACAAACCCCAATATTTATCCTGAGATACTAATAATCGACTGAGATGAAGGTAGTGCATGAACCAAAAAGATAGATTTACTTTGAAAGCAATAATGTGCAGAGCTATGGGGTAAGAGCAGGAGAATGGGACTAATTGGTAGTTATTTCAAAAACATGTCACGGGTACGATGGGCCGAATGCCCTCCTTCTGTGCTGTAAGATACAGTCTATATTTCTATATATTCTATATATTCTATATCAATTCGAGTTATGTTATGGTTATTAATTGGTACACTTCCCCTTCTCTTACACAGCTTTCTTACCAACCGTCATTGCCGAGAGTTAGTGCTCGGGCTGCCTCCTTCCTTGTTGGAAAATGTTCCACAAAATCCTGGTCAAATTTTATAAACAGCTTCACTTTTCAGGCCTCACAAGTCCTTTATCACAGTAATAATAATAATAATAATGACCATAAGCCTTACATTTAATATAATGCTTTTCGCATCTTCTAGACGTCTCAAAGTGCTTCACAGAATATACTGCAAAGTGTATTCTGTATATTTATGGGCAAAAAGCAGCAACCAAATTGAAGTGACCAATTTATTATGGTTTTTTTTCTTGAGGGATTATTATTAGGCGTGTGGAGTGTGGAAACTGAATTAAATTCAGATTTTTATTGATAAATGGTTTCAGATCTTGAACATTTCTGAAGTAAATTATAAAGGAAATATACCAGTGATATCACCTCATGTGGAGGGTTTCTGATCACTGAAAGCTGAGAAAAAGTAAATCAAAACTACCAAATTAATTCCAATGTATTACAAACTTAACCAGAAATAACTTAATTTCAGACCTACTAGAAAAAAATAAAGCATAAAGTACATTACGATATATATTATTATTTATAGTAAATACTATCAAGCACATTATTATGGCCTTGCTGATTTGGCTAATCTTTTGAATTATGGAGTCCTGTAGCTCAGTGTTTAGAGCATTCGCCTCACAAGCGAGAGGTCACGGGTTTGATTCCTAAACAGGGAAAAACCTAAGGCCAGTTTCCTTACTCCACGTGCCTCTGTTTACACAGCAATAAGTGGGAACCTGGCTGTTTGTCAATTAATCTTCACTTTTCCAGGTGTAATAATCTCTTTAAAAGCAAAATTTAGAGCAGTCGCTTTGCAAGTGAGAGACCTGAGTTCAATCCCAGGCAGAGGGCGAAACCTTGGTTAAATTCCCTTAATCCACACAGAGCCTAATAATAATCCCTCCAAAAAAACAAAACAATAATAAATTGGTCATTTTCAATCCATGACTGTGTGTGGGACACTGCTGTGCGCAATTGGCTGCCGCGTTCGCCCACAAATATACAATCAATTCACTTTACAGTGTATTCTGTGAGGCGCTTTGGGAAGTCCTCCAGACGTGAAAAGCACTATATCAAATGCAAGGATTATTATTATTATTATTTTTAAAATAATAATTTGGGTCACTCAATCCATGTCTGTTTGTGTGACACTGCTGTGCACAATTGACTGCTGTGTTTCGCTCACAAAATACAGTCAATTCACTTAGCAGTAAATCCTGTGATGCGCTTTGAGACATCTCAATGACGTGGTAAAGCTCTATATCAAATGCAAGAATTATTACAATGATTATAATTAATATATAGAGAAAACTCTAATTAAGTTATCAGCATCTCACACATTATAATCTGTGGCTGGTGTGAATTGGCTGAACACAGCGGCAGCTCTCAGTGTGAGGGGCAGTGGCTTTCCATGGACTCACTCATGTACATTGACTTCAAACATGAACATACTCCTCATCTGCGTGTGCGGCAGCTGTGAAACTGATTAATTCTCCTTTCTTCTTGTTTCCAGAGCGGAGAAAGTTCACCCCTACGCAGGTAAGAGTCTCAGTAACCTGGGAACACAATATTCCCATAAACCTGCCACGTTCATTGTCAAACACTGGGACTGTCCACTCTGAAAGGAACTCCTGCAATCGGTTACACTCTGTTACAAAGTGGTCCATAAGATATGGATTGGTCAGTGACATGTAGAATGAACACAGTCATCCTGGAGGGATAAAAGATGTGTCAGCCGGGCTCAGTGGGAGCTTTCTCGCCTCTGAGTCAGAATCTCACATCGGATCTTGGAATCACATCGTCTAAGCTGATGCTCCAATTCAGTGCTGGGGGTGTGTTGTATTGACAGAGGTGTCCTTCAGATGAGATGTTAAACCGAGGTCCTGTCTGCCTCTTCTGGTGGCCATTAAAGATCCCGTGGCAGAACTCGACAAGAGAAGGGAGTTTCCCCTGGTCAACAAATCCCCCAAATAAAATTGATCCCTCACCCCAGGACTGTTGGTGCAACGCTTCTGAGTGCAAACTGGATGCCATGTTTCTCCCATAAATCACACAGTCAATTCACTTTAGAGTATATTCTGGTTTGATGATGTGATAAGCACTGTATCAAACACAAGGATTATTATTATAAAAGTCTTGCAGAGTTAAATATATTATAATTTTTCAAATAAGACTCTTGGGTGGAAAACAGGTCAGTGGAAATATCAGAAAATTCAATCAGAAGGTGAGAGGAAAATAGGCAGACTCTGCCTTTGTGATTTGAGGAAATGTTCAGAGCAACAAATGCAAAGTGCAGGAATATAATTTTTCTCCAGAGAGATGGGAAAACTGGAAAAAGTAGTCCATGTTCATCACAATCCATCAACCGGGGAAATCTAATCCATGGTTATACAAGATCCTAAAATCATGAACAAGAACAATTTACAGGTTTGTGCTGCCAGGACTGGTTTACTTTTCCAAAATGTAAATGTCAACATTTCCACATCGCGGCCTTCGCTTTCCTCCCCCTCCAACACACACACCGTCACTTACACCCCCACACAAAACACACCCTCACATCACCCCCCACCCCTGACACACACACACACATACAGTGAACCTTTTTTCTGGATTCTGTTACCACGAGATGTTGATGTATTACACAGTGTGTAATGTGTGATGCTAAAGATTATTTTATTTATAGCTGTAAGTGTGGTTCACTGTTCTGAGTAATGTTCTGATTCTCACTCTAGTTACAGTCACTCTGGATCCTGACACAGCCCATCCTCAGCTCATCCTGTCTGACGACCTGATCAGTGTGAGAGTTGGAGATGAACAGCAGCAGCTCCCGGACATCCCGGAGAGGTTCATTAACTGGCCATTTGTGCTGGGATCTGAGGGCTACATGTCGGGGGGACATTACTGGGAGGTGCAGGTGGGCAACAAGACTGACTGGATTGTGGGAGTAGCCAGAGAGTCGGTGGACAGAAAAGAACCCATCACAGAGGGTGGAGTCTGGTGTGTGTGTCTGATGGGTGTGGTCTATTATGCTCTGACCTCCCATCGTACCTGTCTGACCCCGAGAGAGAGACCCGGGAAGGTCGGAGTGTTCCTGGACTATGAGGGGGGACAGGTGTCATTTTACAACGCTGACAACATGGCTCATCTCCACACTTTCACCCAAACTTTCACTGAGAAACTTTATCCTCTGTTCAGTCCCTGGTATAATGAGGACGGAGGAAACTCTGAGCCGCTGACAATCTGCTCAGTGAGAGCTTAATAAGATGGAAAACCCTCAGCCATTCACTAGATTGATAAGCGGTGGGTGAAAATATTCTCGGGGAGATGAGTGGGACTGTTCCCCTTAAGACGGATGTGATCTCTGTGCCATCATCAAAGATGGGTTCTCCTCCCTCTTCACCACTGACTCCGAGGTCCATCGGCCAATCAGAGCTCATGATGTCCAGACGAGCAGCCGTTGACAAGTTAGGTGAAGGGCAAGAGGGGCCCATGTGTTGGGGACGTTGAGGAGACTGACTGTGGTCTTCCTCAGGGCTTTTTCCTCCCAGCTCCCCTTAAACAGGTGACGGTAATAGGTTGTGGGAGGAGGGTGGGAGGAGGGGGTATGGGTGCTGAGACCCTTCGAGCACTCGTAACCCGCTGTCTACACAGAGCTTTACTTGTTTTTTCTTATTAATAATAATCAATCCTTGTGTCTCCCTTTGTGATTGCTTTTGATGACTATATTCATTTTAATACCTTTTATCTGTTTATGTAATTAAACAATGAATCACAAGATGATTATTAATGATAACAATAATCCTTGCATTTCATATAGGGCCTGATAACACCTTCGAGATATCTCAAAGCCCTTCACAGAATATAATGGAAAGTTGATTGCGTATGTATTTTGTGGGCAAAACGCAGCAGGCAATTGCACACAGTAATGTCCCACACACAGTCGTGTTTAAAATTATTTAATTATTATTTAAATAATTTTATCTTTCTATCCCAGACAGCTCGGTTTATATATGAAAAATAAAATATTTGAAACTCCTGAAGAAATATTAAACTCTAATTTATAATAATAACAAAGATCCGATATGGAACGTAGATTGCAGTGATAGCACTGACAAACCATTTAACATGCCACGAACACTGTATGTACACCTTAAGCAAAACTCCCATACATGTGCGATGGGTCATAGCTCATCAACAATGAAAGATATTGTCAATGCTATGCTAACCGGACGAGTTTATATGTGATCCAGATTGTCTTTGAGTTATTGCAAAGCTTCCATGTAGATGACATTTACAGTTTCTCCTTCGAACATGATGTACAGGTTTTGAGATCATGTCGTTCTGTGTCGAAGTCCAACTGAGCTGTTCTTTGTTCTTCAGTTTCATTTATTCAGACTTCTCTCCTTTGTGTGGCATTTTTGTTCTCCTTGGAAGGCTTGATCTTCCCTTAGGTATCCTTAAGATTAAGAAAATGTGCCTTTGGGATGGCGGCTGTTGGAAGGACTCAATAGGAAGACTCAGTGGGAGGATTCCT